ATATTGCATACTTGTAGTGTAATTGTCCTTATAAGTTTGGTGTTTAGGCCTTAAACACCACCTTATTTGAGTTGATTGCATTTATTTAGTGCTTTTCTTGCTTGTTCTCACCTTTAATTACCTCTGCAACTTCCCTCCTTTCTTGGCTTTTTCTTTGCTTTGAAAGTGGTTTCAAATTATTTGTTTGTTTAAGCATGAGATTGATATGCCATGCTTAATGGTTTAATCCTTTTGGGGGTTTATTACCAACGGTATGATGTCTCTTTCATGTCTAAAACAAGACTTGGTTTAAGCCTTCTTTCCATTACAGGACTTAAATTCACTTGTGAACTTAATTAATTAAAGAATTGAGAGGTAATTAAAATGGAGTAATAAAATTGGTGAATAAAAAATGTGCAAGATAATAATTTAGTTTGGGGTTCAATTGGATGTTTATTGAACTCTTGAGTCTTGAGTCGTTTCATACTCATTAGTGATGAAAATAGTTCAAGATTCATTGTCAACTACTTTCCTTGATCTTTCATGATAGTGAGGTGGTTTTGAGAGTCTTGTTTTGTTACATTCAATGAACTTGCACACTTTGATTCATAGGCTATCATGCAATGAAATTGCATAGATTGATGGTTTGTGAATCAAGTTTTACTACTCCTTTAAGTTGTTCAAATGATAAGGAGGGGTAAATTGTGTAAACAAACCCTTGAGAATATCCTGTCCCTGCTCTATTTGCTCTTTGTTACAGCAGGACAATCTAGTCAGTAGTGGCCAGCAGGCCTTCTGCCGGCCACCAGTGCAAAATCCAGCAGTGTACTTTTGAAGCAGAATAGAGTTGGTCTGGAGGTGGAAATCAGTGCAAATGTTTTATTGTGCAACAGAGGTATTCAGCAGCAGAAACAGTGACTTTTTTGGGTGGAAACCACATTCATGCATGAGCCCTCCGTCGATCCTCAGGATCCATGTTGTAAATATATTAGTGTTGTACTTAAAATAGTGGCTTTGTAATTAATTAGATAGAATAACTAATTCGTCTCATGTTGTAATTATTTTAATTAGCTATATTAGTTAATTAATTAATTCATTCAGTTTGTAATAATTAGTTAAATAGTTTAGCTAAATTATTTATTTGTTGTTGTAATAGCTAGGTAATTAGTTAGCTAGTTAGTTTATTCGGACTCTCCTGTGTGAGGGTACAATGTTGTAATAATATGTATGTCTTCTAACCCACGTCTTTCTCCCTTTTATTTGCCAGCTTATGATGGTTAGTTTAGGGCATCATGTTTTGTTTAGCATACTTCATATTTGCATCCACTTACCTTGCATGCACCGAGGCTTCATTCCAACTTGCATTGTAGTTTAAATACTTCTTTGAATACGTACTTAGATCGCATGCTATCAAATTGCTTTATTTGCCACATTAGTAGCTGAGCCTAGTAAATTGCATATCGCATGTGTTGCATTAGTCATATCGCACAGTTAGGAATCATGCGTTTTTTCTAACTAGTTTCTCTTTTGGCTTAGAGTACTAGGTGAGCCTTTACTCACTTTAGTATATCGCATGTTGATATTGTCATGTTTAGCATGCTTGCCATGAGGCTAATTGCTTAAGTGCTATAATTGCTTGAAATGCCTGTGAACGAAGGCTAATTGCTTGAATTGAAATAATTTGAGTAATATTTATATGTGGTCACTTTTTTAAATGTTACATATTCGAAACAATTTTCCAAAAAAAAAAATGAATAAAGTGTTTCAATTATTGCAAATTAGTCTATATTTGTGTGCGCATCGCATAGTAATGCTAGCCTAATAAATCAGAACAAGAGCATATAATGTAAATAAGATTCATATCATGATTAGTATAGGCCGATTTTTGATCGGGCGAGCGAGGATGCTCAATTCATTGCCTTTCCTTCTCGTACCTAAGTTCCCGAGCCGAGACAATCTTGGTGATGACGGACACGTGGCCTTTGACACGAGTTGTGGATTTCTTAACTTTCTAAAAAAAATATTTAAGTGGCGACTCTATATCTGGCAAAACAGTCTATTTTTGGCAATTTAATTCAAAATCGATTTTTCAAAAGATTTGCCGGATTTGGACTCTTTGGTGATTATCTATTTCACATTGCAGTTGTAAAATTAGATTCAAAATTACGAGAATCCGATACTGTAGGACATATTCGTCTTCCGAAGGAAGGTACAAAAAGTCAAGCTACGGTATCGAAGTCCATACTTGGAATTTAAAGATTGTCAATCTTATCACTTACATCATCCATCACCTCGTCCACCGTTGCATGTACATTCGACTTGTAATCTGAAATATCTAGCGATGACAGAACTGGCTTCCCTTCTGAATTTGAAGGAATTGCAACTAGGTCTTAAGGCCCCGTTTGTTTTCAGAGATAGAATGGAGGGGATTCATAGTGAGGGGATTGTTAGTGAGGGGATTGATAGTGAGGGGATTAATAGTGAGGAATTGTTAAATTATTTTTATATAAAATAATGAAACAAATAAAAAAATATAAAAAAATTAAACATTATGTTTTAAAAAAAAATTCCAATATAAAAAAAATAAAAAAATTTCTAATCCCCTCATTATTTTTCTAATACCATCTCTACTTCCTCCTTACCAATCCCCCTTCCTCCTCCTTACTAATACCAAGAGATTACTAATCCCCTCCTTATCTCTCAAAACAAACACCACATTCTCAATCCCCTTATCACTATCAAACCCAATTCCCTTCCTATAACCTCAAAGAAACGGGGTCTAAATTTTCACAATCACCATAGCAAATCCAAATTTATGAAAGAACTGAAACCTATGTCCTTTTGCAATTTGAGAAGAGGTATCTCGATATAATAGCAAATAGTCTCTACCCAAACGGAGTCAAGAGCCTCTCCTTGCAAGCTTGTGCTTGCGTCCGTCCTTGCAGGCCTTCGGGTCTACTTTTAGGCCCAATTTTGATAATCCGATTATTTTTATATAAAATAATAAAAAAAATAAAAAAATATAAAAAAATTAAACATTATGTTTAAAAAAAAATTTCCAATATAAAAAAAATAAAAAAATTTCTAATCCCCTCAGTATTTTTCTAATACCATCTCTACCTCCTCCTTACCAATCCCCCTTCCTCCTCCTTACTAATACCAAGATATTACTAATCCTTTCCTTATCTCTCAAAACAAACACCACATTCTCAATCCCCTTATCACTATCAAACCCAATTTCTTTCCTATAACCCCAAAGAAACGGGGTCTAAATTTTCACAATCACCATGGCAAATCCAAATTTATGAAAGAACTGAAACCTATGTCCTTTTGCAATTTGAGAAGAGGTATCTCGATATACTGCAAGGACGGACGCAAACACAGAAGCTGCAAGGAGAGGATCCTCACTCACCCAAACGAACTAGTTTGGAGTGCTGCAAATAACATGTCTTACAATATTGTACCTTCTTATTGTGTTGTTAATAAATTTAAAACAAAAGAAAAATAAAAAATTCATATTATTTTAATTTTTAATTTTTGAAAAATAATTAATATTTTAAGATAATAAAAAATGAATTAATGGATTAATACTTTGAGATGAAAGAAGTAAAACAATAAAAAAATGATGTAACTTAAAATAAATTAAAAATGAAAAATAACTTTTAACAAAATTTTCAAAATAGGCCACAATGACAAAAAAAAAATTATAGACTGTTTGGAAACACACACACCCACAAATTTTTTTTTAATTTTTATTAAAAATTCAAAAAAATAAAATATCACATTAACTTTCTTTTCTCACAAAAATTAATTTTTTTTAACTTTTTAAATTCATTAACTAAAAAAAATTAACCCCAAAAGAAGAATATCGTCCTAGAGAAAATAACCTCCACCACGAGGAAATTATCGTGAGTGTAGGAGATCCATTATCCAAACACAGAAAAATGTTGAGAGAGAGAGAGAGAGAGAGAGAGAGAGAAACGACGGCGTTGCTGTCTTCATTCTTTTATTAGGTTCTTCGGGATCTGTGCTGACAGTGTAATTCAATACTTAGGGAGTGTTTGGCAAAGTCTATTTTTTGACTTTTTATATAAAAATTTAAAATAAAATAAAATTAAGGGTTGGTTTGGAGTACACTAAAAAAGTTAAAAAATCAAAAAGTCACTATCCTATTTAAGTCATATCATTTTATTTAAATCATATTACCTTTCTAACACATCACATCAAACCCAATTCAAACCCAACCCATATAAGCCAATAAGTCAAAAAAGTACATAGAACATCCCAAACCAACCCTAAATTAAAATAATTAATAAGACAAAATATTATATCAAACTCATAATTATTTTACTTTTTCTCTCACAAATATCAGATTTAATTACAAAAAAAATCTAAATATCTTTTCAAATATAAAAATTTTAACTTATTAAAATAATCAAAAATTAAAATAATTTACTAAAATAATAACTTTCTAAACACCCACTTATATTAGACTATCTCCAACGTTGAACCAAAATTGATATCAGATTTAAATTTTGATGAAAAATGTACTTTTTCATGCTCCAACTGTTGCATCAAATGAATATCAAAATGAGAAATCAGCAAAAAAAGTATCAAACTGAAAACAAGTTCTGCATTTTACCAAATCACTGTTACTGACCGTTGAAAGAGATATATCGGTTGCCCGGCCGGTTGCCCGGCCGGTTGACCAACCGGTCAACCGGTTCATGAGATTAGGCGACGGGTTTGGACTGTGAGTGGTTTGAACTGGCTGAACTGGAAAAAAAAAAAAAAAAAAAAAAAATTGCCCAAACCGGTCGACCGGTTGGTCAACCGGCCGGTCTACCACCCGGTCGACCACCTCCCCAATTCTGCTTTGATGCTCACCGTTGGAGCGCCTCGTATCAAATTAAAAAAAACGTCATTTTTTCCATCAGATTTGATGAAAAAAGAAGTTAAGCGTTGGAGATGCTCTTACACCGTCATACTAATACGACACAACAACCTTTTAATATGATTTAGGAGAAAAACAAACGGCCATGATGTAGTGGGTTCAGTAAATGGAGTCCACAGTGACGTTTTGATGGTTATCATCAACGGTCACAATCTCAGCCCTAGTCGTTTACGCTATCCCTCAACCGCAAATAACAAATTTTCTTGTGTTGTTTTTGTTTCTTTGGTTTAGGAGGAAAGAGAGGACCAAACAAGGCCTTATCACAAGATTGACATACACACGCACAGAGCTGACGCTGCAAAACAACAGCTTCAATTCAATCCTCTCCACTTTTAGAGAGAGAAAGTAGATAAACGAGAGAGAGAAAGAGGGAGAGAGAGAGAGAAGAAGTCGTGGAATTCAAGGCTGCTTCGGCACTCCTCCCGGTAAAACCCTCTCTCTCTCTCTGTATGTATATAGAATTCACGAACCCTAGTTGTTTCTTTCGAATGTTGATTTCTACTTGAGGTATGTGATTCTGTGTCATTTGTGTATCACTGTTTTGTTTGTTTGGCCCTAGTTCTTTGGATTTCGTGTCGGTGTGTGTATTTTGATTGATGAGTAGATTTTGTGATTTTTTCTCTTCATTTCAGCTTCATCTAGTCTGTTTGGAATTTTGGATAGAAAAAAGAAGAAAAATAAAAAAGGTTGATTCTTTTAAGTTAAGAGAGAGAATAAAAAAATTATAAAAGATTGTTTGTGTTTTTTTCTTCAATTATTTTGTTAAGTTGAAAAGAAAAGGAAAATAATGATTTATCTTTTATCTGATTTTTGTCTTATTTGGTTGGGCTATTGTTTAGGTAAATGAAATTAGTGGAAATAAAAATTCAGTTTTAAAAAATTAAAGGAAAAAAAAAAAAAATCAGAGTTTGACTCTGATAACAAAATAAATTCTAAAATTTTAATTTTATTAATTTAAATTCTAATCTTTTGATTGATTTTTGCTAACTTTTGTTAAGTAAAATCGACAGGAAAAAAGATATTTTAAATATTAAACGTACATAAAATGATTTAATTTTTTTTTCATTAAGTTTAATGACTAAAATATATATATATATATTCCTTTTAGTTTTACTTAACAAAAATAAATAGATGGTTTAGATTGAAAACAAATCAAAACACTAGATTTACATTGACAAAATAAAAAATTTAGGGTGCATTTTGTTATAAGGGTCAAGGCCTTTCTCCTCTAATGCCCTCTAATTAACCAACTGTCTTTTTTGTCTCCTCAAAATTAAAGTTTTAAACTTTTACATGAATGTGTAATTATTTTGGGAAGGTATCACTTAATTGTAATTTCCCCAAGAAACTATTACCGGTTTTTTATCTTTAACTACTTGGATAAGAGTAAGTTTAAAGATAAACCAGCTGCTTTTTTATTTTTTTATTTATAATCCATGGTATATTTTTCCTTTTTAATAATCCATATAGATGATTAGAACCAATAGAAATCGATTTCTTGACTTTTGGCTCCAAATCGACTAGGCTTTGTTTACAGTTAGTTTTTATTAGTATCAGCAGTCTGTTGCATGGTTCTCTGTTTGATTGCTGAGGAAACCAATGAGGATGACAAAAAATGATGTTTACTCAAACTCAGCTAAAGCCAAAAGGCTGTACAAAGTTGAGCCAAGTTGAGGTCTTTGATTTCTTTAGTCCCAAACAACGGGATATATCATTGTTGAACCTTGCTCAATTGTTTGCTTGGTTTTTGTTGAGCTTTGTTAATATTTAGTGCTTTTAGTTTATTGGATAAGTTGTATACCTATTTGATTTCACCAAGTCAATTCTAAGCATAGCCGAAAAGGGTACTGCTCTGTGAAATCAAACCACTCTCAAGGTGTTTTTGTCTAAGATATGGGGAATTAAGGCATTGACACCCTATGAAGCATGGACACTCCAAAAATGGTGCCGTGGCAGTGTCCGACACGCGGACACGCCGGGGACACGGGGACACGCCGGGGACACGTACTGGACACGCCAGATGGCGTGTCCCTTTAATTTAATGATTTTTTTGGAAGGGGACACGGCAGGGACACGCCGGGGACACGCGTGTCCATATCTGGACACGCCATGGGACACGGCGGGGCTCTTTTTCGAATTTTTTATATTTATTTGGGGTCAAAGTATAATATTTAAAAAGTTAAAAAAAAAAAAAACCAACGGGCAAAGCCCTAATCGAACCACTGAGGGATTAAATGAGTAAAATCAGACCTGCGAAGCCCTCCTCTCTCTCTGTCGAAGCCTTCTAAAGTCGATCGAAGCTCTCTCTCAGTCGCAGCCCTCCATTGTCGATCGAAGCCCTCCGAAGTCGATCGTAGACCTCTGATCCAGTCGTCTCTGTCTCTGTTTCAATCGATCCAGTCGTCTTCGACCCTCGATCCACTCGTCTTCGAAGTTAACCCTCTTTCGCCTCTGCCTCTCTCTCTCTCTCTCGCTCTCTCTCTCTCTCTTTGCTCTGCTTTTGTTCGACTGAGACAGACTGATTTTTAGTTTTTTTATTTTATTTTTTTATACGTTTATATTTAATGGTATGGAAGACTTTTTTTTATTTTTATTTTTATTTGTTTATATGTTTAGTCTCGTAGTTAAGTACCTTTAAATTGTGGAGAATTTTTTTTTTTTCTTTATTTATTCTTGCTTAATGTCCATTTATTTGGTGTATAAGGGTAACTGTTTTGTTATTCATGCTGTGAAATGACAGCTGACCTCAAAAGGTTAGATGAAGAATTTTCTGGGAAAATCAGTAGGGAAAAAAATAATTCTGATTTGAATTCATATCTGTATGGCACTTTTATTCTTGGGCTTATCTTAGGTTTGTTATTTATGCAGTTTGTCAATGATCTGCACGCGCTCATTAGTCCAACTTCTCCTGGAACACCCCTTCCCCTTGTTTTGCTGGGAAAGGTACAAAATGGTTTGCTGACTGAATGTTTTTCTAATTAATTTACACATGATTTACTTTTTTGTCATTTTCTTACCACTTTGCTTTTTTCTCAGTCCAAAAATGCACTGTTGTCTACTTTCTTGTTTCTGGATCAAATTGTCTGGCTCAGTAGGACAGGCATTTATAAGGTATGGAATGAACTTTCTCCTTATACAGTCTCATTTTCTTCACTGATTTCAAAGAGGAATACTCACAAGATGGAGCTTGGGTACTTTGTTGATTATATTTAGAACAAAGAACGTGCAGAGCTAATTGGCAGGATCTCTCTTTACTGTTGGATGGGTTCCTCAATCTGCACTACCTTGGTTGAGGTTTGCCACTTTCTTCTCAGTGTATTTTGACTAATCTATTTTTACTTTTCCTGTCCTGGAAGTATTGCTGGCTTTGAGTAAAAGCATCTTGTTTTGGGAGATCTCATAATTGATCAGACGCAAATTAATTATAATTTGGTACACTTTTTTACTATTTTTTGCCCTCTTTAGCTTGGCATTATTTGTGGTCAAGTTATATAGGAAGCCTACTGCATCAATGAGATTAGTCTGCATGTTTTTAGAATTGATCTTGTGGTTGTTGAAAGGGTTCCCAAAAGCGGTGTATAAACTTAAGAAGCAAAGCAGATGGCAACAAGAGTTGATGTTTCAATTACTGTACAATTTCAAGGCCACAATAGATCTATGATTAGATCATTGTTTAAATGGAGTAGTATACGAAGTTAATCTCAATGAAGAAAATAACTTATCGAACAAAAAAAATCTCAATGAAGAAAAATAGGATTTATGGCCATGCAAACTGATGAGAGCAATTCTACATCTGGTCCAAGACAAAGACTGTCAGCAGTTTTCTGAAATTGTTAAAATGTTATACAAGTTGTGGGCAAAATTGAGTGACAACTAATAATTGACTTTAGACCAAGAATTTGAATTTGGGACCTCTTAAAAGGGAAATATGGACTACAATTTTTGGAGAGGGGGGGGGGGGGTACTTTTTTTCCTTCTTGTATTATATACACATATATATTGGTTTCATATTGTAAACTAGAAAGTGGTCTAATGTGCTTCCTCCAATACTTGTTTCAGGTTGGGGAGCTTGGAAGGCTTTCTGCATCAATGAAGAAATTAGAGAAGGATCTGAAGGAAAGTGATAAACATAAGGTAACTACTTTTTCATGCTTTCATTCACTTAAATAATTTCAAGATTGTAATTTTCTCTTTCTGTTACCTACATTTCTCGGTGCATTTGTAAATGCAGAATGATCAGTACCGTAGTAAACTTCAGAAGTCGAATGAGAGGTCATTGGCCCTGATTAAAGCAGCCATGGATATAGTGGTTGCGGTTGGGTTACTTCAACTGGCACCCAAGAAAGTCACTCCCCGTGTTACTGGAGCCTTTGGATTTGTTACTTCTTTCATCTCTTGTTATCAGGTATCACAAATTCTGACTAGATTTATTTATTTATTTTTATTTATGGTGGGGAAGAGAACTGGTCATGCTGTATATATTTTGTATATTTGTAATTAGCGCATATTAAAAATATGATAATTCCAGACGATGGTTCTTGAATTATTCAAAACAACTACTAAAAACAATTGCCCTTGCATATTCATCTTCGAAAAAATTTCCACACATTTGGTTCGAATGTGTTAAGTGAAACCCATGGTTTGGATATGAAATACTGATAAACCATGATTTGGATATCAACTACCAAATCAAAGGTATGGCTTGTGTGCTAAGCTAATGTCATAATTGGTCATTTCATTTGATAGTATGATTGTAATAAATAAAATTATTGATTTAAGTATGAACTGAGGCAACAAGGTGTGTGTTGAAATAGAGGCTCCCCAAAATCCCCCAAGCTGCGGGATCGAGTGTGTACAACACCAACATAGGGCCGAACATTCTATTGGGTCTTATGGGTTTGGGTTTTTTAGGCCTTCCTGCTTTTTGGTTAATAATAAGGATTGCTCTCTTCTAATTGTTGCTTGTTTGTCTTGTGCAGTTGCTTCCATCACCACCGAAGACCAAGACAGCCTGAAGGAGGGAATGCTTACTCGACTCGACGATGCTTCGATTCATTTGAATAACCGTTTCAGAGGTGCGAAGCCTATCCACGTTAGTAATAGTATAGGGTTTTTTGAGCAATTTGCTCTCAAATGGGGGTGACATTGAAATTTCACATTGTCTAGCAACTCTGTTCTCAATGTTGGTGTTGTTCCCTTGCAATAGTAGTAGTAATAATGTGTTTGTACCTCTTATTCTTATATTGAAAACAATAATTGGTGTCTACTCCGTTTGCATTATCTTAAATTCATGAAGGGATTTGTGGAGAGAGAAAAGTAAAATATTTGTGAAGAGTTTTGGACGAATTATACTAACAATTTTGGTAGTTTGGGACATGTATTATTTTGATTTTTAATTTTTTAATTATGATATATTTGACTATGAATCTTGAATCTCTTTCTAAATAAGAATAATAAAAAATATTTTCTTTACAAATGGTCTATTTTAAAGGTAAAATTGTCATATAATTTATTTTGTATTGGTTAATTTGTATGTTGTTTGAAATCAAATGGCCGTTTTTTAATGAATAATTTTGAAACTTTTTTGGTTATAAAGTTTTGTTTAGTTTAATTTTTAGAATCTATTTTTTGAGAATTTTTTTCTAAAAAATTAAAAATTAAATTGGTGATTTTTTTTTTAAAAATATATCATTTTTATATAATTTTATTTTTTAAGAAGGTAAAAATAAATTTTGTTTTTGATATTTATTTTCGTTAAATTAGTTTTTATCTTTTCCAAAGTCAAACATGGTGACAAATTTGATGTCATTATTAAACCAATCCATTAAATCAAAAAATTTAGAATTAAAAATATTTCATATATTAAATATATTGATTACACGTTAAAAACTTAATAACTATATATTATACGATAATCATTTAAAAATATCTGTTAACAACAAATACAACAATCTATTACATAATAACTATCGAAACACATTCTAAAAGTTAATTTAGTAAAAAAATAAAAAAAATAAAATGTAAAAGATTTATTATTTTTATATAATTTTATCTTTGGTAGGTATAAATAATTTTAAAAATTCAAAAAATATCAACAAAAACAATCACCCATTACATAATCATCATCTAAACACATACTAAAAATTAATTTGATAAAAAAAATAAAAATATAAAAGATTTATTATTTTTATATAATTTATCTTTGGTAGGTAGAAATAATTTTTAAAAATTCAAAAATAATTTTTTTTTTCACATTTATTTTTGTCAAACTAATTTATATTTTATCAAATTAACGACTTTGCCCTTCAAATAGAATAATAGTGTATTCAATTGTCCTTTATTTGGAGCGAAATTCTAAATTTAGAATAAAATATATCACAATTAAAAAGTCAAGAACACCAAAGTAAAGTAACACAAGTTCCAAACTATAGAAATCATTAGTATGATTTGCCCAATTTTTTTTTACAATTATGTCCTTGTTTTTGAATTTTTAATCTGTATTTCAAATTTTTAATATCTGAATCAAATTTTTTTTTTTTAAAAAAATGGACTTAATCTAAATTTACTTAGTTAATTATTTGTAAATTCTAAAAAAATATTAAATAAATGCAAAAACATATTATTAATATATTAAATTTTTATATTTTTTAGAATTTAGTAAGTTTTTCTTTTAAAAAATTTAAAATTTTTGTATTTTAAGTGTATCTAAATCAAATAGATCCAATGAGTAAAAACAAATATTAAAATATTTTAAAATTTACTACAAACAAAAAAAATACAGATTAAAAACTCAAAAATTATTTTTGAAAATTCCAAAACAAAACTGAGTTTCTTTGGGACTCCAACAGACATCAAAAAGCAAATTCCCCTAGCATGCTCAAGAATTCATAATATCCCAAATGTACACCCACAATACAATCAAGATAACTTGTATACAAAAATTAAAAATAAAAATATAAAGCAGTTGTACTGGTAACATTGAAGAATTTCATAGGACAATTCCATACCTTTGTTTCACATCTAAATCCTATTTAGGCCAGACGGAGCTTTTTTGGCTATTTTAATCATAAAAGACAAAATAAACTATTTTAGTCATAAAAAACAAAATATCACATTCAACCCATAATCATTACATTATTCTTTCACAAAAAAAAGCCAGAAAAAACCAAAAAGCCAAAAAACCCTTCCTAAACTAAACTTTTTAACCCAGGCTAAAATAGCTAAAAAAGCCAAAAAATCAAAAAATCAACCCACTTTTCAAACGGAGGCTTAGTAAAATTCCGGGAGACATGAGCTACATTTGGCTGCGGCTAGAATGCCAAAAAACTCACTTTAGCCACTCCAAAAAACCTAACAAAAACTAAAAAAACTAAAAATGCACAAAATAAACTAGCTTTTTTTAAGATTAATTTTTTTATAAGCTTATTTTTAGGTAATAAATTAACTTTATAACAACTCCCAAAGAAAGCCCCTAGGCTTTCTCAAACATAAGACATAGGGTTTGACAACAGTTTTAACAAACAAAGATCAGACAAAAAAAAGAGTAAAATGTCTACCAGCATTGTCACGGTCCAACTTACGTGCTCATGGCAGCGTCATAAATTAAACCCCGATGGAGCACTACAGCTATACAGTATCACGGAGAGAGAGAATTTTACATGAAAAACATTTCGAGATTGTCAAGGGGAATATCATTTAAGAACACAAAATCCGGATCATTTCCACCAAACATATGCAGCCACTGCTCCATATCTCTTATGTCTTGCGCATGCATCATGTCCGGGATTGCAAGTTGACTGTTCGGAGAGAGTGGTGGAGGGCGGTTCTGAGCCTCCGGGTCATACTTCAACACAAACTTTCCAAAGGGCTTGAAAACTTCAGCCTCGAATGTGGGAAACAGTGACCGTCCCACAACTTTAACATGAGAAACACTGCAGCATACCGGTGAAGTGAAAAGAAAAGGATTAAGAGAGCTAAAAAATGATCATCTACACAACTTTCTTCTCAAAGGATAAACTAAGCTTTTTAGTCAATTTTTGAACATTTGAGATAAAACAGCAGGCAATCATGTTGATCTAAAATATTTTAATCTATAGTTTCAAATATAGCCTTGTCATGAAGATGGCATTAAAACTAAAAGGCAGCTTATTTTTTTGACTTATTGTCTTTTCTTAACTTTTTTCAACTCAAGTCAAAATTTGAGTCAATTTTTAAAAACACTCACTGAAGACGAAAGCAAACCAAATTTTATCAAAAAAATGGCTTTTGTCTTTTCAAAAGAATTATTTTTTTATAACTTTTAGGATGGTCAAGTCGAGGCAGATCTAACAAGTAAAAAAAATTGACATAATTTTAAAATATATATATATATATATAATCACTAAAAACAAAAACAAGCCAACTCCCAAAAAAAAATCATTGCAAAGCCACTACTGACCAGCAAGCCCAAGGAATTCTGTAATGGGTAGCCCTAAATGTCAATCAATAGTGCTGGTTGCCAAGGCAGAGTACAAGCAGTCGACGCTTCAGCGAGTTGTACTCAGCACTTGTAACAGCCACCATCAATCTGTTGTGTTGTATCTGCTGTGGAGATAGGGTTGTCCATTCGGTATTGTCAGCACCGTTCTATTGTGTCGTAATGCAACAAAATGCAAAAAATACATTAACAAATACCAGTGGGGCACACACGCAACCACTTTCATACATATTTAAAAGATCAATCAACAATAGTTAACAACCACATGTAAAGAACAAATCCCCACTTATAAATAAAATAGGAACATTTAACCCACAAGAGGTCCAGAAGTTTATTAGTTCCTTTGTCATGCCAAGCTCTAGTGCATACCTACTAGCTGAGTGAACCAAATATCGTCATGCCCTAAGAAACACTGACACTTCTAAGAAGGTGGTGTGTCGTGTCGGACACATCCAAACATTGTCAAGTATTTAAACCATGCAAGATTCTAAATACTACTCAGACGCTCAATCATTAGGCTAACTAGTAAAATATTGGCAATAGTTACAAGGTTGTCATGGATGTTACGAGAGAAAATACCATGTTTATTGGCTGAATTAGACTTATCTATTTATTCATGCAACAGACGGCATTAGACTTACCATATATAGAGTAAACCATCTGTTTCTTGTTTCTGAACTCTACCCAGGAGCTCAACCTGTAAAAATCCACCGACGCAAAGAACCGGTTCTGGCAGCACAAACTTCTGCAAGCGATTTTCCTGTTTGCAGGAAAGTCATTTAAGCATTTAACTATTCTGAGATGAATATACGATTATTTGACCAGCGGGGAAAAAAAGGGGCATAAGAACAGAACAATTTGACATTCTGAGAGATGATCAAGAAGACATCACACGGAAAGATATAAATTGCAATAAGTAGTCTAAAGGATATATATATATATACTGACATCTCACCGTTCCATCAATAAGGAAAACATGAGACATTTTTAGGTTAAAAAACTCACCTGAGCCATTCGAAACTCTTGTGAAGTGTATGTCCATATGAATCTGTCATCAAACTTCAGGAAGCTGCAATGGCAAAACCTTGAGATCTTTCTCTAAATCCTTCCGGGATTTGAGATAACCGATTCGAAATCGAAAAGATTTCGCTGAGTATATCGGAAGGCCAGCCTGAAAATAAGCTGGAAGGGAAAAAAAAAGATTTAACCTTTAATCAAAGGTATCTAGGCAGTACGAAATAAGGCTATGTTTGTTTGTGCAGACATGATCTTGAGATTGGATTACTAATCCAACAAAATATATAATCACCTGGACATGCCCCATATGGGAGACTATGGAGAGGTTCGGACAAATTGGCTAAAATAGAAAATTAATAGGATTTTGTCAATCCCTCCTCATAATTCTGGGCCAATCCATACATATGATTGGCAACATAATCCGAAGAGATTGATAATCCCAGAACTAACAGTCCTAAGAATGCTAATCCCCAAATAATGCAATCCGCCCAAACAAGCATGGCCTAAATGGAAGAGTACAGAGTATTTATAGAGCTAGCAAAGCAATAACCTTGGAATGGTTGTACACTGATTTCAGTGATAACACAAAGATTGGAAATTAGTTTATATATTAGCGTCTCAGGCACCGCAGGATCCTTCTGTCCTTTACTCGACCAATACGAGGCTCTCCTTAGAACTCTGTCCCTTGGATTTAGAGTATTACGAATGCTTTCTTCTGGATAGTTATCAGTGCTGGAAGCACTAACGGCCTCTGCTATGCAATCAGTCGGAGTGAATGTTTTAAGAGCGCGAGCTAGGAACCCGTAAGCCCTATGTTCCCTCAGAAGAGCTTTAGATTC